GGCTTTGAATTATCTCCGTGGGAAATTCGCAAAGAAGATAGTGAAGTTAGTTTGTTTAAATCTCATCGCCGGAAAACAAAACTAAGAAGCAAACTCTCAAAAACAAAACAGCAATATCGCCAACCGCCCATTTTAGCCCGTACAAGAGTGTATGAACCCAAACCAAGATATAAAACTTGCCAAAAGCGTTTTCCTCGTTGGATAAAAACGCCTGGGCCGCAACATGTTGTCATGCGAAAATCGTTACAGGCAGACAAGAAAGTGTCGAGTAAACATGCACACACCCGCCCAACCCACCCAGGCCCTACCCGTGCGCTGACCGGGGATATTTTATGGCCAGAAAGTGGTCGTCGCGGCCGGAACCTGGTCGCTTCGACGAACGGAACCAGGAGGGCTGCCGAAATCGATCGTCACAACCCGACACATGTAACGAGGAAAGCGAGCCAGACAGACAACAGTGACGCTGAACTCGATGCTGATACCTGGGAGGAGTGTCCACTGCCTGTGTCCTCGTCGCCATCACTGTATTCGCTTTGTAAGTCGTCATTTACCAAGCGCGATTTCTGTTCACAGACAAATTTGTCCTCGGACGAGGCAGATGCTTGTACTTACACGGAATTAATGCGACAAATGAATCGCTGCTGTATCCAAGATTTATCGTTACAGCATCGGCATAATCCAATAAGGAAGACGAAATATCGAGACAAGTCTTTGGTTTTGAATATGCAGGCTTATAGTCTTCTTGGAAAGAGTCTCATTATAGATGATGCAGAAGAGACCAATCTCGGAAATGGAAGAGTGCAAAGCGTGTTGGGCAACGAGCAGTCCCAAGCCAGTCATCATGCTGCCCAGAAGCGGAGAAATCTGCATAGGTCAGTGGATTTACAGACATTTTCAAGCGCAAGAAATCCGAGTTTCGAGGGGGAAGCCAGACACAACGCTTTTACTCGTCTTCAAGCTGTCGTGCGGCGGACAGACGTCTGCAGATCTTTTCGCGCCTTCGTCCCGAGAAAAGCTCCTGTACTATGGCGGCCCGGGGACCTGTCTGCTGCCGATCGTTTCAGAGTGAACGAACGAGTGGTTTCCGCTTTATACTCGCATGCCCTTCAATCTCTAGAGAATAGAAAGCGTTTTGAAAATGTGAGAAGCAAAACGCCTACATATATCATCCCACCTCAGATGCATTCTTTTTCTCTACACCCACTAGACACGGCGGGTAAGAAACAGCCTGTGTCTCCTGGTGATGGAGACTGGACTAGGGGAAAACGGGAAGGTGAAATGAAGAATAGAGAAAAAGATTTGGTCTTTGACGAACGTTTAACTTCTCAGATAGGATACCAGGCGATCCAGGATAATGAACTCAGTGACGGATGTCAAAGGCATGCAGATAGAGAAAAAGATCAGGGAATTGAAGGTGCCAACTCTGAAACAGACTGCTGCTTTACCAACACATCTCCAGAGTGGACGGTCTCCGGTCATTGCCCTGATCCTTCACCTCGTCAGATGTCCGATACGACCCTGGACTCCGAGGACCTGGGGATGAGTACGCTCAGCCTGACACCTGCGGGAGAAGACCTAAGCGGTACAGCGCCATGTGAAGTAAACGTTAAGCATTCATGGACTATGACTCCCATAGGAGACGGACAATGCGTTAATGAACAGTCCACATTACACACCGATGCCGATCTTAAAGGGTCGGTGAAAAGTCAAGTAAGAAGATTTGAACTAGGTGAGAGGTTTTCCACAACGGGAGACGAAGATGAAGAAGCAAAAGACACGAAATCAAGTCGAGGTGACACGGAAAACTCAGAATTTGATACCCTGTCCATACTTCCATTACCGCGGAGTGGGGTGAGCGAGGAAGACTCTGAGTTCGAGTATTGTCCTCAGTGGATCAACGTTACGGACAGCTCCTATCCAAGCCGGAACGGGGCTTGTGGTGACATAACTCGGAGAAGCATGTCTCACACTTCAGTCGGGGATAAGAAGTTTTGCCCCGCCACACCTACAAATACACCGGCTCCTCCAGAAATCTACTCACCACACAGAACATATGTGAAGAACTTTGAGACCATATCCCCAGGAGAAGATATCCGTGGTCACAAAAAACAACAATTGAGTGAATACACTACAGAAAAATTCTTGATAGGTAAATCTAAGTCTCAAACGAACTTGATCGGCTTTGGTAAAAGCAAAACACAAAAAGCACACACGAATATCCTTGAAACATCGTATGCACGAGAAATCCTGGAGAAAAAAGTCCCAATAAATCCAGTGACTATAATAAAACGTCGACAAAGGCGCGTTATGAAAACTAAAAATCAACAGACGCAGACAGAAGAACAGCTGCCTCGTCTCGATATTTTACCGGAGAGTACCCAGCGGTACGCAGCTTCAACCAACCCTCCAGTAGTAATGTACTCACGACAGAGAGGTCTGTCTGTTGTGACTATAGGCTTACCCACGGTGTGTAGTGTGCCACCACATTCCACCCATAGAGATGACGAAGGTGTCCCCTCTAGAGGTCTGCCAGAGGAAGCGGAAAGTACGAGTCATTTGATCGCCATGAAAGAAGACCCGCCAATAGAGGTGGTCAAGCCCGTAATGTTTGAAGATCTAACAGACGTGCCAGAGGCTTTGTTGGAGCCAGCAGCTCACCGCTACACCACTATTGGGCGCATCCGACGTCACAAACGTACATCAGCGGTAAAGATGTCAGCAGGTAAAGCTTTGCAAAATGAGGTTTCTCAGATTACGAGTTGCACAGTTTTAACGGAAAATAATGCTGAAGACTCTGCTGATACTGCAGAACGTAGGGAGCTCTCTCACGGAAAATTCTGCCAATCTCTGAGTACGCAAGGAACGTTTTCACTGAATGAGAATGACAAGGACCTTCCCAGTAAACATACTGAAAATGGAGGCTGCATGGGGGAAGTAACAAAAGCAACCGAGAATTCACTACCCTGTCTTGTAAATAAAAGAACTCTGTTTGCGCAAAACGTCTTTGGAGACGTCAGGCTGAATCGCAGTAAAAATACTTTCTTGACACGGTCAATTCCACGCTCAGATCCAAGGGAAACAGAACAGAGACTACAGTTGCAGACTCACAAACTGTTGCCGCCTATCTGCGAAAGTTTTAATGACCTGATTTCTGACGACATTACCAATATTTGCTCAGAAATGGGTCAATCTTCACCTCGATTGCAGCATAAAGACAGTTTTTCTGGGGAAAATAGTACAGATGCAACTCCTTTATGTAATTCGAAATCCCAAAAAGACAGTCTCCCTGAAGTCCCAATTAAATATGGAGAGAATACTCCCTCGATATTAGTTCCGCCACCAACTTCAAGTATGCACCCGAAATACGAGCTCGGCAACTATGTTCGTATACCAGCCGTGGTCCCTGATAACCATAAACGTGTCTCTCTTACACGTTCTCTTGGGCCCCGACGCTTCATGCCTATCCAATCGACAACGCTAAAGCCCTTCTCAGACTTGGAGTTGAAGACTCTGGGTCCCAACGTCGCGCCGTCCTCGACTGGAACATTCCGCGCAAGAAAGCGTTATCCGTTCCGGTGGTCGAAGAGAACCACGGAAAACGCAGGGGTCTGGCTTCCCGGCGAGGGCACCAGACTTTTAGAAATGAAAACTGCTCATGCTGAGAGCCTCGCTTTATCAAAGAGGGCAGGAGTTAAGATACCTCTCCCAAAGGAAAAGCGAGTGCAACTTTTGTCCCCGTCTGGCAACAGACTTCATGTCCACAACATATCATTGTAATGCTTTTCTCGTTATCAAGAGACGCGCTGAAGGAAAAGGGCGAACTCTGGTCTCCAGTAGTAACCAGCCTCAATCCAAGGAGCGTATCAACTATTCCTTATCTTTGCTCTACGGAAGACTTAATTGATTGTAAATCATTTTGTTAAATTTTTAGAAATTCGAGACCCCAATGCACTTTTCAGTCTACTTAGTGTGTGTCTTTCATGTTCATCAATTTATAACAAACATTTGTTATTGTCTCGCCCTGCTTTTCTTCACTCAAACAAGCAAACAAAGAAACAAATAAACAAGCAATCAAACAAACAAACAATCAGTGTGTTATTTTACCTGGTGATGGCTTGAATCTTTGGACAAGTTCTTAAATACCACCCCC